ATTACTTCTGGGAGTATAGACATTTTTACTATGTTGATTCTACCAATCCGTGAGCATGGGAGATCTCTCCACTTTCTATAGTCTTCCTCAATCTCTTTCTTCAGAAGTGTATAGTTTTCCTTGTAGAGGTCATTCACATCTTTTGTTAGGTTTACACCTAGGTATTTGATTTTTTTTTTGAGGCTATTGTAAATGGAATTGTTTTCATACATTCTTTTTCCGTTTTCTCATTGTTAGTGTATAGAAATGCTAATGATTTTTCTATGTTGATTTTATATCCTGCTACCTTGCTATAGCTATTGATGATGAAACCCTTGTTCCTTCCTATTATTGCTTATTCTCTCTCTACAACAAAATTAGAAATAAGGGCAAAATAGTTTCTGCTGGGTATTGGTGGGGGAGAGGAAGGGGGCGAAGTGGGTGGTAAGGGAGGGGGTGGGGGCAGGGGGGAGAAATGAACCAAGCCTTGTATGCACATATGAATAATAAAAGAAAAAGGAAAAAAAATAAAAATAAAAATAAAAATAATATATGGAAAAAAAAATGACAGCTTCAGGGCATGAAAATGGATTCTCCCTGTTAACGGCTTCAAAAACAATATGGCCTTCCTGACACCTTGATTTTGTTTAGTGAGACCCATTTTGGACTTCTGACCTCTCCAGGAAAGACAATAAATTTGTTATTGTCTTCAGCCAAGTAAGTTTGGAAAAATTTGTTGCAGCAGTAACAGGAAACTAATACCCATAAACTAATATTAGTGCAAGTATTTATTGGTTATTTTATCTACATTGCAAAATGCTTATTCAGTACTTTGTTAATATTTTTGGTTAGGTATTTCCCTTTCTTTCACTTGGAGTGTTAAAATATATATCCTGGAATATAAGGCCATTGTTGATTTATTGTCTTAGAAGTTTCTATTTGCATTTTGGGTTTCTATGTGCATTTTGTGGTTTGCCTTCTTTATTGGCAATACTGAGGCTTGGGGTTTGAAGTCAGGGTTTCCTGCTTGCTACACAGGAACTCCACCACTTGAGCCGTGCCTCTAGCCCCTGTGTTTGCCTTCTTACTCTGTTTTCAGGCTTTTTGTTGTTGTTGGTACTTGGAGGTTGAACACAGGGTCTCATGTATAATAGGCAGGTGCTCTAGCACTTGAGCCGTGCCCTCACCCAGCCCATTTTGCTTTAGTCATTTTTCAATAGGGTCTTGTGTTTAAGTCCTGGCAAGCCTGGATCACAATCCTATTTTCATGCTTCCTATGAAGCTGAGATGATAGGTAAGCCCCACCAGGTCCACCTTTTATTGGCTGAGATAAGGTCCTTGTGAACTTTTTACCCAGACTGATCTTGAACTGATCTTTGCCCCCCAAGTAGCTGGGATCACATGCCTGATCCTTGGCCATTTTGTTTTTGTTTTTGTTTTTCCTTGTTTGAGACCAAGTCTCACTATGTAGCCCAGGCCGCCTTCAAAGTTATAGACCTCTTACCTTGGCCTCCTGAGTTCTGAGAATACGGGCAAGGGCCACTACACCCAACAGTTTTTCCTTTCTCTTTTTAAAAATCATGTTTATCTTCTTTTTTATTATTTTTTAAATTATTGTGCCAACTGAGATGGCACATGCCTGTAATCCAGCTATGAGGGAAGCAGAGGTTAAGAGCATCGAGGTTCCAGGCTGGCCACAAGGTGAAAGCATGAGACTGTTTCTGAAAAATAACTAAAGCAAAAAGGCCTGGGAGAGTGGCACAAATTGTAGAGGGTCTGCCTAGCCAGTGTGAATCCCTGAATTCAAACCCCAGTACCACCAAAAAGAAATACGTTGCCCTACTGTGTAGTCAGGAAAATAATATCCTGACTATCAGGATATTATTTTATCATCCCTCAAAACGCTTATGAATACGCTTAGCATATACTAACTCAAGATGATCTCCCTATTAGATCGTCAACTAATCACAAAAGGTTACAAAGGCTCTTTTGCCATTATAGGTGACGTAGTCAGTGTCTAGAGATCAGAGCATGAACATTTTGGGGTTCCTTACTTCGTTTACCAAAGCGATCAAAGCCAGAATCCTTGTGAATTCATCACCTGTCAGATTGGGGCTTCTCTTCTACTATCTCTGCCACACAGAACAGGTTTTCTGCTATCTCTGCATCTCAGCCTTATGCTGAATGCCCCTGGCTTGGCCTTGGACTTATCTCTAGGCACTCTTTTGCTGGATCTTGAGAAAATGCAGCCCTTCCTCTAAGAGGTTGCAAATTTGAGGGGGAGGTAGTACTGGGATTTGAACTCAGGTCTTCACATTTGCTATGCAAGTTAAGTGCTCTACTACTTGAGCCATTCCCCACCCCCCACAAACCGCCCCCGTCCTTTCTGTTTTTTCAGTTTGTTTGTTTTCAGATAGGGTCTTGTGCTTTGGGCCAGGTGGCCTCGGAAGAGTTTGTCATTAAATAGAGAAGATACACCAGTGAAAGAGAACAGCAGGTTTCGTTACCCTTTGCCTCATGATACTGACATAGCCGTGCTAACAGCCTTTTCAATAAAAGGTGAAGCTCATATTGCTAATTCTAGTAAAAATTAACTTGGTACAGCCAAGAAACACCTGAAAAAGTGCTCCCAACCCTGGCCACAAAGGAAATGCAAATCAAAAGCACACTAAGATTCCACCTCACCCCTGTTAGAATGGCTATGATCAAGAACACAAATGACAGCAAAAGTTGGAAAGGATGTGGGGGGTAAAAAGGAACCCTCATACACTGTTGGTGGGAATGAGATTAGTACAGACACTATGGAGGTTCCTCAAAAAAAACTAAAACTAGAACTGCCATATGATCCAGCAATGCCACTCCTAAGGATATACCCGAAGGAATCTAAGTCAGATTGCAACAAAGACCCGTGCACACTCATGTTTATTGCAGCGCTATTCACAATAGCCAAGCCATGGAAACAGCCAAGGTGCCCCACTACTGATGATGGATTAAGAAAACATGGTATTTATATACAGTGGAATTTTATTGAGCAATAAAGAAGAATGAAATATTGTCATTTCCAGGTAAATGGATGGAACTGGAGAACATCATCTTAAGCGAAATTAGCCAGGCTTAGAAAGAATGCCACATAAGTGAAATATAGACCTACCACAAATACAAGAATATTATGAAAAACAGGTCACACTAAGGGGAGGTCACTATCAGGAGAGGAATGGGAAAAGAAGGAAGCTAAGGGCCAGTGGGGTGGCTCAAGTGGTAGAGCACCTACCTGGCAAGCATAAGGCCCTGAGTTCAAATTCCAGCACCAGGGGAAGAAATAAAATTTTTTTTAAAAAGAAGGAAGTTCAGCATATGAGTGTGAATGATGTACATTCTATACAGAAATGAATATAGAATTTTTTAAACATGGGACTAAGAATGAACTAAGGTAAAAAGAGAAACACAGAGGGGCTGATCCAGTTGAGGTTACAATGTATATATACATGGAAATGTCATAATGAAACTCCCTGTATACCTATCTTAAACAAACAAAATGTTGTTTTTTTAAAAATGGAGAATAGGAAGGTAAAACTGGTCCTGTCTGGTCATTGACGCCAGTGGAGAGGTGTAGATATAAGGAAAGAATGTAGGAGGGTAAATATGGTAGAAATACCACGTACTCGTGTGTAAATGGAAAAATGAGATTTTGAACCCATTCTAGGAATGGGGAGGGAAGGGAAGCTAAGGGAGAATGAGGAGGACGTGAATTCAGCCATTATCTATTGTAAGAACTTTTGTGAATATCACAATGTACAACAGTAAAAAATTTGTCAAAATTATGAATTAACTTGTACAATGTTAGCAGTCTTCCCATAGATTAGAATTTGAAGTATGTCAGTGGGTTGCTTTTTGTTTTCTCCCCCTGAATACAAAGAATATCGTTAGGTTTGGGTCAATATCTACTAGCGCGGTACTTAAATTCCTTTCTTCCACCACCATTCCTGTCATCCAAACCATGGGCTCTCTCAACCGCTCCTCTTATTTGTATCTTCACACTTGTTCTCTGGTCTGTATTTGAGACTCTACGTTTCTCAGAATATGACACAGAACAGATGTGGGCCCTGGAGGGGACTCCTGTTTCATAGAAAACACTGTGTTTTCCTAGAAAAGATTCTGCTGTGTAACACTTCCTTTGCCACCCACACCTGCTTTGTGTCTTTTTTATGTCTCTTGCTTTCACAGTGGTTCCTGTGATTGAGTCTCTTCTTCCAGCTGAGCTCAGAGTGCGAGCTCACTGATGGCCTCGCTTTCTTCTTCTGTAACCCTCGTCGAGTGAAGGGTTTGCTCACACATGACTTTCAGTTGGTTGGAGATGGTAGGGTAGAGTTGTGGTTTGAGGGACACATACAATGTCAGGCTCTCGAAGGAAGTAGGATTTATGAGGAGTGAGAAAATGAGAGATGTGAGAACTCCATCCAAGCCTGTTCACAACTCAGTGGGTGGGTTGGTGCTGGAGGTAAAATTTCAGGGAACAAGAAGGCTGAGAAAAGGAGAGAGACGAACTAAACGTTAGACACTACTTCGCCTTCCCAACATCAGATGCTCCTTTTCAAGTAAAGGTTTTGGAAGCCTGGCACCAGTGGCTCACAGCTGTAATCCCAGCTACTTGGGAGGCTGAGATCCGGAGGATCGAGGTTCAAGGCCAGCCCAAGCAAATAGTTCATGAGATCCCATCTCCAAAATACCAGAGCAAAATAGATTACAGGTGTGGCTCAAGTGATAGAGTGCCTGTTTTGCAAGCACAAAGCCCTGAGTTCAAACTGCAGTCCCACCAAAATAACAAAACGTGCCTAATAAAGGTGGTGACTCAAATGCCAGGCTTATGAGTGACACCATGTGGCAGGCAGGCAGGAGTCCTGGGTGCCATGTGCAGAGGGAACTAGCTTTGCTGAATGGAAATCTCCTTCTTGAAGCAAATGTAAGCGACACAAACCACTGACAGAATCCTCTTTCTCTGCCTACAGATGCTGTGTTTCAGGATGTACTGGCCTGACAGCACCACCATCCACCGGCCCCCAGGCCCCCATCCTGTGTTTAGACATGCCTCCAAGTCCACAGAATCTCCACCATTCTGGGACTCTCTCCCTCAGGAGCTTACCAACTTGACCAGTCTTCTGTACTGGCTTCCAACCCCAGGAGATGGGGGGACCTGTTGGCCTCCACCAGCCCCCAGACCTCCACGTACCACCTGAGGGGTCCTGCCCAAGCCACCTATGAGCTGGGAGGCCTCCTGGAGGTCATCCTTGTAGCCAGGGACCACTGGGGCAGACCCAAGAGTCATGGAGGGGATCTGTTTCAGGCCCGGCTCCTGGGTCCAGAATCAAAAGCGGGGGTCCCTGGGGATGTCCAAGATCTGGAGAATGGCACATACCTGGTGTCCATCCCCCTGCTCTGGGTTGGGAAGGCCCAGGTGCAAATGCGGCTGATCCACTCCAGTGAGGCAGTAGGGGTTCTGCGCAGAATCTGGAGAGAGAAACGGGCCACGGTTGACTTTAGGGGGTATTTCCAGGGAATGAAAGGGGCTAAAGAGACTGTGGTTTGCAATGTTGACCCCCACTCAACTGGAGCTAAAGGGCTGACCTGTCAGTACAGGGATGTGGTTTCAGGTGAGCTATGGTTCTGTGCTCAACCCCCTACCCTTCCCTGCAACTCTTTAGTTGGTCACTCAGCTGGGAGTTACCTGAAGGTGACCACACGACACGATGAAGCTCTGCTGGCCTGGTAAGATTCCCAGAATCTGGGAAATGTGTCCAACCCTAAGCCGTATCCTTCCTTCTAAATCTTGCTCTTATGCCACTGGCCCTTTCCTTTATTCCTACCCCATGCAACACGTGATTGTTGAGTAGCTGATGTGTAAGACATTGCTAGACAGGCTCATACCACAGGAATCTGGCCAGGTTCTGTATTCAGAGGTTACAGTTGCCAGGTGTGGTGGCTCACACCTATAACCCTAGCTACCCAGAAGGCAGAGATCGAGAGGACTAAGGTTGAAGTGAGCCCAGGCAAAACAGTTTGAGAGACCCTATCTTGGAAATACAACACAAAGGAGCCGGTGGAGTGGTGAAGTGGTAGAAGTCTGCATAGCTAGTGTGAGGCCCTGAGTTCAAAACTCAGTACTGCCAGAAAGTTAAAAGGTTACAACTGATCTTAGATTTAAAGAAAAAGTAGTTGCTCTAGGGAACATGAGAGACATGGTGTTCAAGACAGAGCATACGAGCCAGGCTAACATGGTCTGAGTACTTCATTTACTTATCTGGAATCCTGTCTTCACTTAGGTTTTACTCCGACTGTTGATTATTAATTTGGGTAGATCTTCACTTTTTTAGCTGGGTGTGGTGGCTCACACCTGTCATCCCAGCTACTTCGAAGGTGGAGATCAGGAGGATTTCCATTTGAGGCCAACTATAGGCAAAGACTAGAAATCCTGTCTGAAAAATCCTGTCTGAGTTCAAACACTACTGATGCGAAAAAAACCCCAAAACTTCAGCCATTGAAGTAGACTTAAATATATTTTGTTGAGAATTTTCAGTGAGGTTTGGCAGTCCTGCCCTGTACTCCACCTGTATAGTTTTCTCATTTCTACAATGTTACGTAATTGAATCATATAGTACGTAACTGTTTGAGATTGACTTTCTCACTAAGCAAAATGTCTTTGAGATCCATGTAAATTGTTGCATGTATCGATAATTTGTTTCTGGGCCAGGCATGATGTCACATGCCTATAATCCCAGCTACAAAGAATGATCATTGTCCAAGGCTAGCTTGGGTAAAAATATGTGGCCCTACCTGAAAAACAAACTAAAGCGAAAAGGCCTGGAAGCATGGCTCAAGTGGTAGAGCTCCTGCCTAGCAAATTGAAGGCCCTGGGTTCAAACACCAGCATTATGAAGGAGAAAAAAATCTTTTTTTCTTTTTCCTGATATTACAGAATATTTCTTTTCAAGCCTGAGCTACTCTGCCAGCCTTTTTTGTGTAGGATTTTTCAAGATAGGGTCTAGCGAACTATTTGCCAGGGTTGACTTCGAATCTTGATCCTCCTGATGTCTGCCTCCTGAGCAGCTGGGATTACAAGCATGAGCCACCGGTGTCCAGCCAGAATATTTCTGTTTTGGTGGTGCTGAGATTTGAACTCAGGGCCTTGTGCTTGCCAGGCAGGTGCTCTACCGCTTGAGCCACAACCCCAGTCTGGTATTCCATTGTCCACGTTTAACCATTCACTCACTGAAGGGCTTTTAGAATGTGTCCAGGTTTTGACTGTTATGAATAAAGCTTCTGTAAATATTCATATACAGGTTTCTCTGTGTGCATACATTTTCATTTCTAAGGAATAAAGTCTCAGTTTTGTGACTGGTGGATGTTTAGTTTTATAAGAAACCAACAAGCTGCTAGAGTGGCTGTACCATTTTACATTCCCACCAGTCAGGTGTAAGAGATCCAGTCTCTCTGAATCCTGCCCAGAATTTAGTTTAAATACTATTTTTATTTACTTATTTATTTATTTTATGGTGCTATGGATTGAACCCAGAGGCCTTATGCATGCTGAGCTATACTCCCAGCCCAATACTTAACTGAGAATTCTGGACAAAGTATTGTAAATCTACTTCAACAATTGAAGATCTAATGAAGTAATAATGAACTGTCACATTAAAAATCTAAGCAGCCAGGTGCTGGTGCTCACACCTGTAATCCCATCTACTCAGGAGGCAGAGATCAGGAGGATCGAGGTTCGAAGACAGCCCGGGCAAATTGTTTGTGAGACTCTATCTCGAAAAAACCTAACACAGAAAAAGGTCTGGTGGAGTGGCTCAAGGTGAAGGCCTTGAGTTCAAACCCGAGTCTCACCGAAATAAAAAAGAGAACAGGAGTAGGTTGCTTTTTTTCAAGAAGTTGTCCCAGAGAGGAAAGCAGCCTGACAGAGTTGCAGATACCAGAGGTGACAATGGAAGATGAGGTGGCTTTATTTAATGGAGCATGCATGTCAGTGTTTACTTATGGAAGAAAAGGACTGGGGGAGAACACGTTAAAGCTGGTGCAAAAGCAGTGAATGTAACACATCTAAGAAGTTTGTGGTTCTTGCTTTCTTGTGGTTCTGAGGATCAAATTCAAGGTCTTATGTATGTTCATCAAGCACTCCACCCCTGAGCTATGTCCCAAGCCCAGATGTGACACCATCTAAAAGATTCAGAAGGAGGTTGTATTCAGATATAGATACAGAAGGAAGTCACCTCCTTCCTTGAGTGGGACGAGGAAGGTAAGGGAATGGATGTAGTGGTAGATAGATTTCCTTTTTCTCTCTTTCTTTTTTGTTTGTGTGTGTTGTTACTGGGGTTTGAACTTAGGCCTTTTTTGTCATGTTTTTTTTTTTTGAGATAGGGTCTCTCGAGAACTATTGCCTGGGCTGGCCTCAAACCTCAATCCTCCTGATCTCTGGCTCCTGAGCAGCTAGGAGCACAGGCGTGAGCCACCAGCGCCCGACTTGTTCTGTTATTTTTTTATTTTGGGGCAGAACTCAGGTCCTCACGCTTGCTAGGCAGGCTCTCTACCACTTGAGCCAGTCCACCAGCATGGTACATACATTTTCTAGTAAGAGAATGTATTTGACTAGTGGTAAGAGAGCTTCTCTGTGAGGTAGGAGGCACCAGCTCTGTCTCTCTTCCCCTGGGAAGTGAAGGAAAAAAGAAGAGATAAGCTCCCAACATGGTCCTTGGGAAAAAAGGCGTGACATCTAGCTTGAAATACACAAAAGAATTAATTGCTCAGCGGCATTTCCAGCTCTTATTAGAGCTGCATCCATTATATGGAAGATGGCAGTTTGTACAGTCACTCAACAAATTCTTACTGTTTACTGGCTACTTGATTCTAACCTCACTCAGCCACCCATAATTCTGTGGTCTGAATTCTAATTTTTTTATTTAAACATTTAAAAAAACAACTTTATTCAAGTTTAATTTATATACAATGAAATATATGTATTTCAAATGTGCAGGCCAATGAGTTTTGGTAAATGTGACACCATGTAACTGCCACCACCACGATAATGATATATAGAGTAGAGGGTGCTGGTGGCACACATCTGTAATCCCAGCTACTCAGGAGGCAGCAATAGGAGGATCACGGTTCAAAGCCAGCCTGGGCAAATAATTCATAGCACCCTATCTCAAAATACCAAACATAAAATAAGGGCTGGTGCAGTGGCCCAGGTGGTAGAGCACCTGCCTTGCAAGTGTGAGACCCTGAGTTCCAACCCATGGCCACCAAAAAAAAAAAAAAAAAAAGCCACATAAGTCACTACTATGAGAAACCACACTTACAAGTGGGGAGTATGTTCTGCATTGTCTGAATGTTCATGTCACAACAACAAACTTTTAGAATTTACTTCCAGGAAAGGTTTGCCTTTCCTTGTATGCAGTGTACTTCCTTTTAGCAGAAAAGAAATGACATGGCATTCTTTCTCACCTTGACTGTTAGGAACTGAGAGCCACGTGGATTAGTTGTGGACAGTCCTTCTCCCAGCTTGCTGATAAGATTTTTCTCTTCCTTCGTTCCTTCGTTTTCTCTAACTCTCTTTTGTAATTGCCTCAAATTACCAGTGTGCCAATAGTTATATTGCAGTGATCTCTTCTTGGAATTAGAGGACAATGACAAGTCAGTCATGGTGTCCCCATAGCAACTCAAACTTTAAAAAAAGGTAGGGGTGGGTGTGGGAGGGGAACTGGGGGCATGGCCAGTGGTAGAGCACCTGCATAGCAAGTCCAAAGCCCAGAGTTCAAACCCCAGTACTGCCAAAACCAAAAAATAAGCCAGTGCTGTTGGCTCATACCTGTAATCCTAACTACCTGGGAGGCTGAGATTGGGAGGATCTCTGTTTGAGGCTAGCTTGGGTAAATAGTTCTGGAGGCCCCTCCATCTCCAAAATAACCAGTGCAAAATGGACTGGAGGTGTGGCTCAAGTGGTTAGAGCACCTGCTTTGCAAGCATGAAGCTCTGAGTTCAAACTCCAGTTCTGCCAATGAATAAATAAAGTCATAAATCAACACTCCACACAACTTGAACTTTTACCTGGTTGCACTCCCTCAATAATCTCTCCCTGTTTCCCCAGGAATGTGACTGACAAGCTGCTTCCTCAGGGAATTCCTCCAATCCTGGTCAGCCCAGCAGCCCACTGGAACATCGTTCTGGGTGAGGGAGACTGTGATATGCTGACGCTGGGGTTGTTAATGACTCATGTGGTTTTATTCCCCCACCTAGACTGTAGCCTCTCCCTGCCGGAGCAGTGTGGTGTGCACAATTATTTCTGCTGTGAGCTGTAATGCCAGACTTCTTGGATTTCAATGTTATCATTGTCAGTCACTATTCTCTTTTTAAATCACTTTATAAAGACGGGTGGTGTGTGGCTCAGTGGTAGAGCACTTACCTAGCATTTGTGAGTTCCTGCACTGGAAAAAAAAAAAAAAAGCTTTGTTGAGACGTGATTGACATACAAAAAGTTATACATATTTAGCCGGTGCCCATGGCACATGCCTGAAGTCCTAACTACTCAGGAGGCAGAGATTCAAAGTGGGCTTGGGCAAAATAGCTCATGAGACCCTAGCTTGGAAAAAGCCATCACAAAAAAAAGGGCTGGCAGAGTGGTTCAAGTGATAGAGCGCCTCCCTAGGAGCATGAAGCCCTGAGTTCAAACCACAGTACATCCAAAGGAAAATAAAAGAATGTTACTCATTGTATAGCATTGTGTAGATAACTGAGTGATATTTCATATCACGTATATAGAGAGATGGTCTGTAAGTGAAAGTATATGCTTGTTAAATACATTACCTTATAACATACTTTAATAAGATATTTTGTAAATATTTTTAAATGTATCCGTAACATCCAAAAGTCTCTTTCTGCCCTGTATTAATTAATTAATTAATTATTATTTGCGTGTATGATGAAAATGTCTTTAATTCTGTACTGGGGGTTGAACTCAGGGCCTTGTGCTTGCGAGGCAGGTGCTCTACCTCTTGAGCCATGCGCCCAGTCCATAAAAACTCTTAACATAGGATCTACCCTCTTAGCCAGGTGTTGGTGGCCACTTGCAATTTTAACTACTCAGGAGACAGGGATCAGGATGATTGTGGTTTGAGGCCAGCCTGGGCAAATAGTTCACAAGACCCTATCTTGAAAATACCCAACACAAAAAAGGGCTGGTGGAATGACTCAAGTGTAGAGCGCCTGCCTAGGAAATGTGAGGCCCTGAGTTTAAACCACAGGACGGCCAAAAAAAAAAACAAAAAAACTATCCTCTTAGTAAAAATTTATATATGCAATATACAGTTGTTAACTATGGACTCTATGCTGTACAGTAGTTCTCTAGGACTTACTCATTTTATACAAGAAACTTTGTACCTTTTAAAAATATATCTCATTCTCCCTCCCCTACACCCTGGCAACCACCATTCTGCTGTATACTTCTGTGAATGTGGCTATTTTAGAGTCTTCTTATTAGTGATATCACATAGTAATTGTCTTTCTTTGGCTTATTTCACTTAGCATAACATCTTCTAGCATTTTTTTTTTTAGTTCAAACAGCACTGGGGTTTGAACTCAAGGCTTTGCGCTTGCAAGCCAGGATCTCCAGCCACTTGAGCCATTCTGCCAGCCTGATATAACATCTTCTGGTGCATCTTTGTTGTCATAAGTGACAGGACTTCCTTTTCATCTTTTCTGAGTTATGTTATAAAATAGTTGACAAATAAAATTGTGTATATTTAAGGTGTACAATGTGCAATGCACACATTAGGAAACAATTACCACAACTTAGCACGTCATCACCTCACAGTTTGTGTGTTTGTGGTGTGTGTGTGTAGAACAGCTAACATTTAATCTCTTAGCAAATTTCAAATACACAATACAGTACTGATAACTATGTCACAGTGCTGTACATTAAATCCTCAGAATTTATTCTTCTTATAATTGAAAGTTTGTAAGACTCCTGTGTGTATATTGTGTCACTTTTGTTTTTTGGTACTGAGGTTTGAACTCAGGTCCTCACACTTCCTAGGCAGGCACTCTACTACTTGAGCCACTCCACCAGCCACATTTTCTTTATCCATTGTCCACTGGTGGACACTCAGTTGTTTCCGTGTCTTTGGTATTTTGAATAAAGCTGCAGTGATGTGGGGTTGCAGATATCTCCTTAAGATATTTAATTTCGTTTGAGTGTATATCCACTAGAGGGATTGCTGCATCATTTAACTTTTTGATGAACTTCCATTTATTATTTTGGATAATAATGGCTGGGGTTTGAACTCAGCATCATGCTTGCTAGGCAGGTGCTCTATCACTTGAGCCTCTAACCTTTTTTTCTCTGGTTATTTTGGACTTGGGGACCTTGCTTTTTTCCTGGACAGGCCTGGACTGAGATTTGCTTCCCGAAGTAGCTGGGATGACAGATGCACAGCTACCAGGACCAGCTTTTTCTTGTTGAGGTGGGAGTCTCAAGAACTTTTTTTCCAGTCTGCCCTGGAACTGATTTCCCACAATCTCCACCTCCCACGTAGCAGGGATGACTGGGGTGCCACTTCGCCCATCTATTGGTTGAGATGGCATCTTGTGAATTGTTTTGCCTGGGTTGGCTTTGAACCTCAGTCCTCCCAATCTCTTCCTCTTGAGTACCTAGGACTACAGGTGTGAGCCTCCAGTACCTGGTCCAATCACAATTCTTATGTTTTTTTAAGGTGTACTGGGGTTTGAACCCAGGTCCTCATGCTTCCTAGGCAGGCGCTCTCCTACTTGAACCAGTCCACTAGCCCTGTTTTGTGGTGGGTATATTTGAGATAGGGTCTCATGAATTATTTGCCAAGACTGGCTTTGATCCTTGATCCTCCTGATCTCTGCCTCCTGAGTAGCTAGGATTACAGGTGTGAGCCACAGATGCCTGGCCCAATCAGTGTTTCTGATCATAGGTAATTATATAACATCCCAGTAATCCTACCTGTAAATGGAGATAAGACCAGTACTTTAGGACCGATGGAGTGGGTCAAGTGGTAGAGAACGTGCCTAGCAAAGTGTGAGGCCCTGAGTTCAAACCCCAGAACTGCCAAAAAAAGAAAAAAGAACAGTACTCAGCAAGTGTTGTGAGAGAGTAAATGAAATGGTGTGTGTATGGTATAGAAGAGTTTGACATATCGTGAAATGTCACTCTTAGCTCTTCTCATTACTTAGACTGTTCTGTTCTTCTCCTTCCTACAGCTTTGCCCCCACGGCCTCCATGCCACCCTGGTCTCAAGTCCCCAAAGCCCTCTGGCTTCTACTACCAAAATACGTGGCACTCCCTGTCTTGTTCTGGCCGGACCTTCCCTACTGCTGACAGCATCCTGGGCTGCCTGGCTGGCCGCGTGGTCCACATGATAGGAGACTCCACCCTTCGGCAGTGGTGGGAGTACCTCCGTGACACTGTGCCTTGTGAGTGGTGGCGAGGGGAGGCGCGGGACACAAGGGCACTCAGGAAGGAAGACGTGAACAGGGAAGGCTTCGCAGAAGGAAACCCCCGTGTTTGGTGGAGGGTGGGCCAGGATGCTGCGTCTCTGTGAAAGGCAAGTGAGGGAAGAAGTCAGTTTTGGGAGGGTGCAGTTACTACCATCGAGATGCCTTCCTGATTTCACCGGAAGTTATGCCCTGAGTTCAATGACATCGCAGAACCGTTCAAATAACAAGTGTGTGATGACCAAAAGAGTCCTGCTGGGCACAATGGCGCATATGTAAAATCCCAGCTACTCAGGAGGCTGAGATCTGGAGGATCACGGTTTGAAGCCAACCCAGGCAAAAAGCTAGGGAGACCCCCATCTCTACAAACAAGCTGGTGTGGTGGTGCATGCCTTGATCCCAGCTACATTAGGAGGGTGATGATCTGAGTGAAAAACATGAGACCCTACCTGAAAAACAACTGAAGCCGGGGCTGTGGCTCGAGTGCTAGAGTACCTTCCCAGCAACGTGAGGCCCTGACGTCAAATACCAGTACCTGGGGTTTAGGAGCAGGAAGAGTTCTCATTTAGCTTCTAAATAAAATTCCCATTTAGTCTCTTAAGTAAAAATTAAAATGTGAAGGACATAGAGTTCACTTTCCTTGTTCCTCCTACCTCAGTTTCTCTTCTTTATTTCTATTTTGATTTTTCCTTTTGGACTTGTTGCTGGGTCCTCCCCAGTGGTTTGAGAGAGACGGTGGTTCACTCAGCACTAAACACCGAGTGACTTCTGCTGAGTGGACATGGTTTCCTCAGCCCCTCCTGGACACAGCTGCTGGAGTGGCTCAGGTGGTAGAGCACCTATTGCCAAGTGTGAGGCCCTGAGTTCAAGCCCCAGTGCCGCCAAAGAAAACAGAGTTCTCTCTTCTTGCTTTTTCCCCTTCCTTCCCCCAACGCCTGGCAGCCACTGGTCTTTTTACTCTCTCCATACTTTTGCCCTTTGCAGAATGCCATATAGACTTGTTCAGATTGACTTCATTCTCTTAGTAACACACGCTTAAGTTTTCTGTGTCATTTCATAGATTGACGCTCATGTCTTTTTAGCCCTGAATAATAATTGTCTGGATTTTTCACTCTACTTATCTACTCACCTACTGAAGGACTGCTGGTTACTTCCAGGTTTTGACAAGTATGAATAAAGATTTTTGTAAACACCCTTATGCAGATTTAAGTTTTCACATTCTTTGGGTAAATACCAAGAATAATTTTTTTTTGAAACTAGCATCCATTCCTGGACCTCGTTGTTTTGTCTCTTGATTTCTTCCTTGCTTAATTTTTTTTTTTTGGTGGTACTGGGCTTTGAACTCAGGGCTCTGCACTTGCTATACAGGTGCTCTACTGCTTGACCCACACCTAGCACTTTTGCTCTGGTTATTCTGAAGATGGGGTCTCGCTGTTTGCCCAGGCCAGCCTAAACTGTCATATCCTATTTACACTTCCTGCGAATGTTGGGATGACAGGTGCATGCCACTACTCCCAGCGTTTTTCCATTGAAATGGGGTCTTCCTAACTTTTTACCTGGCCTGGCCTTGAACCACAATCGTCCTTATCTCTGCCACCAATGTGCAACTCTTTTCTTTCTTTTGCTTTGTTGGTACTGGGGTTTGAACTCAGGGCCTCTGCTTGCTAGGCTGGTACTCTATCACTTGAGCCACTCTGTCAGCCCTTTTTGGTTGGCTCTTTTTTGATATAGGGTCTCATGAACTACTAGCCCAGGCTGGCTTCAAACCGCAGTCCTCCTGATCTCTGGTCCTGAGTTGCTACAAGTAGAGTCCTAAGCCACCAGCATGAAGCTCTTATTTACTTTTACTTCGTCCTTCCTCTCTTGCCTCCTCTCTCCCTCCCTCCCTCCCTCTCTTCCTTTCTTCTTTCTCTACTTCCTTCTTTCTTTTTCTCAGTACTGGGGTTTGAACTCAGGGCCTACACCTGAGCCACTCTACCAACCCTTTGTTGTGATGGGGCTTTTCAAAATAGGGTCTCACAAACTAATTGCCTGGGCTGGGTTTGAACCACAATCCTCCCGATCTCTGCCTTCTGAGGAGGTGGTTTACAGGCATGAGCCACAGGTACCGACCCCCAGCCCTGTTTGCTTTGGTTTATTTTTCAGATAGGGTGCCCTGCTTTTTTCCTCCTGGGCAGTCCTTGAACTTTGATTCTCTTACCTCCACCTCCTTCATCGCTGGGATTACAGATGTGCACCACCATGCCTGGCATCCTTGATTTCTTTGCATCTATACTCATCCTTTCTTTTCTTTCTTTTTTTTAAATTTTATTATTCATATGTGCACACAATGCTTGGGTCATTTCTCCCCCCTGCCTCCACCCCCTCCCTTACCACCCACTCCGCCCCCTCCCTAATTTTGTTGTAGAGAGAGTATAAGCAATAATAGGAAGGAACAAGGGTTTTTGCTGGTTGAGATAAGGATAGCTATACAGGGCATTGACTCACATTGATTTCCTGTGCGTGGGTGTTACCTTCTAGGTTAATTCTTTTTGATCTCACCTTTTCTCTAGTTCCTGGTCCCCTTTTCCTATTGGCCTCAGTTGCTTTAAGGTATCTGCTTTAGTTTCTCTGCGTTAAGGGCAACAAATGCTAGCTAGTTTTTTAGGTGTCTTACCTATCCTCACCCCTTCCTTGTGTGCTCTCGCTTTTATCATGTGCTCAAAGTCCAATCCCCTTGTTGTGTTTGCCCTTGATCTAATGTCCACATATGAGGGAGAACATACGATTTTCGGTCTTTTGGGCCAGGCTAACCTCACTCAGAATGATGTTCTCCAATTCCATCCATTTACCAGCGAATGATAACATTTCGTTCTTCTCCATGGCTGCATAAAATTCCATTGTGTATAGATACCACATTTTGTTAATCCATTCGTCAGTGCTGGGGCATCTTGGCTGTTTCCTTAACTTGGCTATTGTGAATCGTGCCGCATCATCCTTTCTTTTCTTTTCTTTATTCTTCTTATTTATGGAAGACTCAGGGCCAGTTATCAAGTGTCAGCCTTCTGGATTGATCTGACTGCTTCATTATGGTTATCTATTCCTGTTATTTCCTGAGTACTGGAATTCAGATACTCAGCTTTAACCATTGCCTGGGTGAAGTTATAAGCTCTGTTTGTAGCACATTGGGAGATGCATTATGTCTGGTCATCTATGTCTAGTGATGATAAAATTGCCACATAAAGGGATAAAATCTTGGTCCCTTTCTGATGTACGGTTAGGTTTTTCCCTTGGGAACAGAAAGGAATCCATGATCTATGTGTTATTAGTTTGGCCCTGTGTGAACTGTAACAATTAACAATGCTACTAATGATTTGTATTTTTGAGGTATTGGGGAGGGAACCAAGGGCCTTGTGCACGCTCAACCACTGAACTATATCCCCGGCTCCAGTGATTTTTTTTTTTCTGGTGGGTCTGTGGTTTGAACTCAGGCCCTCACACTTACAAAGCAGGTGCTCTATCGCTTGAGCCACATCTCCAGTCCATTTGCCCTGGTTATCGTGGGGAGATGGGGGTCTCACATTCTGTTTTCCCAGGCTGGTCGCAAACTGTGACCCTCCCAATTTCAGCCTCACAATTTCAGAGGATTACAGGTGTGAGCCACCTGTGCCCGCTTTCTAATGGTCTTAATACAGGTAATCACCATTGCCTGAACCTATCATTTTGACATTACAAAATTCTGATGTACTAACTCTATTGCTTTTTCTACATTTACTTGATGTTGTCCTTTTAAAAATAATACTTTGTTTCATTAACTGGTGCTAACAGATTAGCTTAAAGCATTGTTCCTCCTGTAAATACAAAACCATATATTAAAAAGGTATTTCTCTTTATTTACCAAGTTACAAAGAAAAGAGCCGCTTTAACAGCTGCTTCAAATGGTGACAAATGACTCTTGAGTATCATTATAGGCTCTCTACATGGATTTTTAAGATCCAGTGCAACTGAATCAGTATAAATAGTGTTTCTAATACTCAAATTTTCGAAATTTTTGCCAAGTTGCAAGCTGTGTCCTTTTTTGGCACAACTTCGACGTCAGAAAGATTCCTTGCTGTGTCTGACTATATTTGAAAAAAAATGATGTCACAGTAAACAATACCACTATCTTAGTAACAATAAAGCCACTGAGTGAAGTTAAAGACCCCTTTATTGGTGATGACAGGTCTGTCAAAAGAATTCAAAAGTTGACCTGAATTTTCCGTGGGACAAAAGAGAGTACATTTGGAATACCAATGAGGACAGCAGTTGCTCTGTTAATTCTTCATCTCTGTGACAAATTCCTGAGAGAACAAAATTAAAGGAGGAAAGCTTTATTTGGGCTCATGGTTTCAGAGGTTTTAGTCCATGGTCACCTGGCCCTGTTGGTTCTGGGCTTCTGCATGGCCCAACACCAAGGCAGGGAGCACGTGGTGGAGCCAGGTGACTCACCTCATGGTCGCCAGGAGGCAGAGAGACCAGAAAGCAAGCGTTCACGGGTGGATTTCTCCTTTGCTGTTTTTGCTCCATCCAAGCTCCCACTCTATTGGGTGGCAAAGCCCACATTCAGAGCCAGTCTTTCCCCCTCAGTTGTGGTCCCATATGTCAATCATCTCTGGAAACGCCCTCACAGATGCACCAGAGTGTGCATCTCCCAATCCAGTCAAACTGACTGAAGGTTAAGCGTCCTGGAGGCACATGCCTGTAACCCCAGCATTTGGAGGCCGAGGCAACAGGATCATGAGTTCAAGGCCCACCTGAGCTACATAGTGAAACCTTGTCTCAAAACCAAAACAAAACAAATAATAATAACAACAAATTAACCCTCACAAAACAGTGGATTGAAACACACAGACATGTTTAAGTTTAGAAATGTATAAAAATAACGATTTGGAAAATTTGAGGCAACACCGACTTGTTATTTTAAAAACTGATAGAGGAGTTGAGGGTATGCCCCCAGTGGTTCAACAAGTGCCTAGCAAACACAGAGCCCTGAGTTCAAACCGCAGTACTGCCTCCCTCAAAAAAAAAAAAAGAAAAGAAAACTGATAAAGAAAAAAGTAAAGTCTATCTAGCTTTCCAATTTAGCCAAATATTGGGTGAGTAAATTTTTTTGTTTTTTCTTTTTTTCATACTGGAATTTGAACTCAGGGCAAAGCTTGTTAAGCAGGCGCTCTACCACTTGAGCCACTCCACCAGCCCTCTGTAATTTTTTTTTTTATCTTTAAGTGCGTCTCATCAAATGCAAAGAAATGTGTGTAAAGTTAGTGGAATAAATTCACTGTGTGAGACTGTTCTTAATTTGATAAAACTCTTAGATTCATTTCTTTCATTTCATTCCCAATTTCAGAGGTTGCACTTCCTAAATTTTTTTTTGATGGTATCGGGGGTCTACGTTCATACCCCCTGAATGCATCCAATCTTGTCTGATGGGGTTGAAATCAGGACCTTGCTTACAATGCAGACACTACCATTTGAGCCACTCTGCATTTGGTTATTTTTGAGCTAGGGTCTTGCCCTATGCCCAGGCCAGCCTGGACTGTGATCCTCATAATTGTGGTTTGCTGCATAACTGGGATGACAGGTGTGTGCTGCTGCACCCAGCCATTGGTTAAGATGGAATCTTGTGAACTTTTCTGGCCCAAGCAGGCTTCAAATTGCAATCATCCCAATATCCACTCCCAAGTCGCTAGGATTACAGTCTTGAGCCACCACACCTGACTTAAATTTTATTTTTGGACATGTGTTCATTGTATATGAACCAAAAGTCAAAACTATGCAGAAAATTATGCAAAGAGAAATCTTGTTCTTCTAGACCTGTCCCCCAAACTCCATTCCCTTCATCTATACTTAAGCACTTTGTTAATTTCATATTTATCCTTCAGATACTTTTGTTTGCAGATACAGGTGTATAATGTGTATGCATATATAACGTGCATAATTTCAATTTTATTATATATAACAAAACAGAAAACACAGACTGGCGGCGCAGCTCAAGTTAGAGTGTCTCCCTTGCAAGTGTGAAGTCCTGAGTTCAAACTCTGGTACCACCAAAAAAATCAGAAAATACACAAAACAGTTTAGTATATGGTTACAAAAATCTCACTCATGTAGCTCTCACCTGAAGAAAGAGAACAAGCCCATGGGAGGTGGAGGCAGGAGGATTTCATGAGTTCCAGGTCGGCTGGGGCTACATAGTGAGACCCTGTCTCAAAAAAAAAAGGAAGGAAGGAAAAAGGGGCGGAGGAAGGGAGGAGGGAGGGAGGAAGGAGATGAGGGAGGAAAGGAAGGAAGGAGAGGGGGGAGGACAAGTCTCTCATCCCAGAAGCCCCTGAGACTGTTTCACCCTATTACAATTCCTTCTCTCTCTCTCTCTCTATCTATCTCTCTATCTCTCTCTCTTTCTCTCTCCTTTCAGATTTACCTATTATTCTCACTTTTATAAAATCTATTTCTTTATAGGTTGCTGGACATTGCTAAAGAATACATGTGAATTTTGTCTGATGTTGAACTTTGTGTAAACGATAATATATTCTAAGGATTCTTTTGGGGTTGATGTCTTCCTCAAGATTATGTGTTCTAAAATTCATCCATATTCTTTCATGCAATGGTAGTTAGTCCACTTTACTGCAATACGGTATTTCACTGATTTATCACACTGTCTTCACACACTCAACAGTTGATGGGCATAGTGGTGCACACCTGTAATTCCAGGACTGGGGAGATTGAGGCAGGAGAATGGCAAATTCCAGGCCAACCTTGGCTACGTAGTGATACCCTGTCTCAAAAAAAAAAAAAAAAAGGACTGTAGGTGTAGCTCAAGTGAGTGCCTGTTTTGTGAGCTTGAAGCCCTGAGTTCAAATCCCAGTCCCACCAAAAAAGAAGAGGAAGACTAGGAAGGAAAAGAAGAAGAAGAAAGAGGCTGGAAGTGGTGCTCACACGTGTAAACCCAGTTACTTGGGACACAGAGCTGAGGATTGTAGTCCAGGCTATCCTGGGCAGAAATGCAAGACCCTATTGGAAAAATAGCTAAGCAAGAAAAGGGCTTTGCGGGGAGGGTTGGCTCAAATGGTAGAGTGCCTGCCTAGCAAGGGCAAGGCCCTGAGTTCAAACGCCAGTATGGAAGAAAGGAAAAGAGGGAAGAGGGAGGGAAGAAGGGAGGGAGGAGGGAGGGATGTGTGGAGGGAGAGGACTCTCAGTGACTGGCTTTCATTTACGGAGTGCAAGGAAAATATGAAGGAAATAACTGAGCAAGGAATAACCAGAACGGTTAATGTAGTGTTACAGAAGGCAAACACATTTTTGGAGACCAGCCAGCATAGAGAAATCAAATCAAGAAAGGGATGGGGAAGTAGCTCTGGGAGAACATTTGCTAACACAACAAAGAAAAAAGAAAAGAAAAGGAACAAACCAACCAACCCTGTAAACTGACAGGACCTGGGATGGATGACAGTGGGTTTAGGAACAGAAAGCTTGGGTCCTGGAAAGGAAGCAGGAATAGGAACTTTTATTTGTACGAAAGGATGGTGACCAGTCCTGCATTAACCCTCAATCCCTTCTCTCTCTTCCTCTCAACAGCTATGAAGTCAGTGGATCTTCATGTCACATATCAGGCAGGGCCCCTGATGGCCGTGGAGACCACTCGGGGCATAGTGCTGCACTGGCGGGCCCACAGCTGGCCCCTGCGCACTGCCCGGACATCAGTGGCCTCCCTGCACTCTGTGGCCAGAGAGCTGGGTGGCCTGGCCGGGGGTCCCTACACTGTGGTGGTGTTGGGTCTGGGAGCTCACTTTACCACCTTCCCTCCATCCATCTTTGTGCGACGACTGGCTGGGATTCGGGCGGCTGTGATGGCCCTGCTGGCCCGGGAGCCCAGTACTCTTGTGGTCATCAAACTGGCCAACACTGGCTATAAGTCTGTATACGGCAGTGACTGGCTCACCCTCCAGGTGAACAGGCTCCTCCGAGCTGCCTTTGCAGGCCTCCGTGTGGCCTTTGTGGACGCCTGGGATATGACCAGCAGTCTGGCCTTGCCAGACAGCATCCACCCAGGGAGGCTCATTGTCCAAAATGAGGTGGCCTTATTCCTCTCCTTCATCTGTCCCACCTGAGCATTTCTGAGACCTGGGATGGATGATGGAGAGCCTGGGACCTGGCCATCAGAATGAAGAAGAGTGATGATGGGACACGAAGCGAAATGTGCCACCTGGATTAAGGACTTTAACATTTTTGGTGTCCAGTCTCTTATACATATCTCTACGCACCACACAGATAAATATATAATTTTACATAAATAAGATCATAGTTTTGGGGGGAAACTGGGGTTTGAACTCAGGTCTTTGTATCTACTAGGCAGGCACTCTACCACTTGAGCCATGACTCCAGCCCTTTTTGCTGTGGTTATGCTGGAGATAGGGTCTTGCTTTTTACCTAGCCAGCCTAGACTGCTTCCTGCAGTTGCCAGGGTGACAGGCACGTACCACTGTGCCCAGCTTTTTTTCTGCTGAGATGGGGTCTCACAAATTTTTTGCTTTGGCTGAAACTGCTATCCTAATCTCAGCCCTCCACAGAGTTGAGATGATAGGCGTGTGCCCTTGGTGTCCTGCTGACAAGATCATATTTTGTGTGTTTTCCTTTTAATTCCCTTCTTGGAAAAATTGTTCTTGGTTTAATTGTACATTATGTAGTTGTAAGGAACAATACAGAGAGGTCCCTTGTACAATTAACTAGGATTCTCTCAATGTGGTCATCTTGTAAAACAATATCTAGGACAGTGTCATAACTAAGATGCTAACGGTGATACAATTCACCGTCTCACTCAGCTTTCCCCCACTTTTATTGTATTTTTCTGTTAGTTTTTAATTGTTTGTTACGGTTCTGGGATTGAACCCAGGGCCTCATGTGTACTAGGCAAGCACTCTTCCATTGGACTACACAGCCAGCCTCTATTGTTCCTGTTTTTTATTATTTATTTTTTAAGGTTTTTTTGGCTGCGCTGGGGTTTGAACTCAGGGCTTCACGCTGGCTAGGCAGGTGGTCTTGCCTGGACTTGTTTGTATTTACTTGGATACAACTGTGTCACGTGTATACATGTATTGCTTATTTTCTATTTTTTTTTTTTGGCAGTACTGGGGTCTGAACTCATCGCCGTGTACTTGCTAGACAGGCGCTCTATCACTTGAGCCAGGGTTCCAGACCTCTTTGCCCTGCTTGTTTTTGAAATAGGGCCTTGCTTTTGCCTGGCTGGCCTGGACTGCAGTCCACCTACTTACACTTTCTGTGGTTGTAAGGGTGACAGGTGTGTACCCCACTCCCAGATGTTTTTCTATTGAGATGAGGTCTCAGAAACTTTTTTCCAGGGTTGATCTTGAACTGTGATCCTCCCATCTCTGCCTTCTGAGTAGCCAGGATTACAGGTGACATATGGGTGCCTGGTTTGGTTTTTTTTTTTCCTAATTTTAAACATAATCTTGCTATGTAACACAGGCTGCCCTAGAACTCATTATGTAGCCCAGTCTGGCCTTGAACTTGCAATTCTCCTGCCTCAGCCTCCCAAATACTGTGCTGTTCAACTCTTTAACAACTGTTTTGTAGCCTTGCAAAGGAAAGAAGACAAAGTCCATGGGTTTATCCAAAGTGGCAAGCCTGGGGCTGGCGGAGTGGCTCAAACTATAAGAGCACCTGCTTAGAAATCTTGAGGCCCTAAGTTCAAACCCAGTGCCGGCAAGAAAAAAACAGAAGTGGCAATTCTCATAAGAGAGCCTTTCTTGGATAAACTGGGGTCTCAAAGAACTATACCCTCTGGGTAAAGAAGATCCAGAAGTAAATCCCCAGACCCAAGACAACCCAAAGAAAATCACTACTAGGGCTGGAGACTTAGCTCAAGTGGTAGAGCACCTGCCTAGCAAGCACAACAAGGCCCTGACAAAACAAACAAAAAACAGAGCTGGGTGTGGTGGCTTACATCTGTAATCGCAACACTCATGAGAAGGAGGCAGGAGGATTGTGAATTTGAAGGTAGCCTGGGCTACACAGTGAGGTGGTGTCTTAAAATCAACCTAAAAGCTGGAACAGAAAAGCGTGAAGTGTCCTCCAAAGGAATATGGTTTTCCTACAGCCTACATCTCGAACAAAGAGAGAGCCAGGGGTGTAGCTCAGTGTACAGCTCTCATCTAGTTGTACAGGGTGGGAGGGAGGGAGGAGTGGAGGGATTGAGGGAGGGAGGGAAGGAAGAGAGAGAATTCTCCATTCAAAAGAAACGAAATTCACACAACAAAAAAGAAGCAAGAAGACAGTGGAATATTTTCTAAACAAAATTCTATAACCAGCACAGATAATTTTTTAGAAGAAAGAGATACTAGTCTGCTCAGGTTGCCATAACACAATACCACAGACAGACTAGAGGGCTTAAACAACAGAAATGTATTTTCTGACAATTCTGAAATCAAGATGTCGGCAAAGGTGGATTTTGATGAGACTTCTGGTGGCAGATGGCCATACTTTCTTCCTATGTCCTCATAGAATGTCTCTTTTGTTTTTCGGTGGTGGGACTGGGGTTTGAACTCAAGGACTCAAGCTTACTAGGCAGGTGCTCTTCCTCCTGAGCCACCCCACCAGCCCTGTTTTCTATTGGGTTTTTGGAGATAGGGTCTCATGCACTATTCCCTGGGTTACCTTCAAACTGATCATCCTAATCTCTCTCCTGAGTAGCTAGGATTATAGGCGTGAGCCACCGGCGCCTGGCATCTCTCTTTCTTTGAGACAGGGTCTATGTAGCCCAGCCTTCCATTTGCTGAAATTACAAGGATGTGCCACCATGTCCAGCTGTTCCTCTTTTTGGTTTTGGTGGCACTGGGATTTGAACTTAGTGCCTTGCACTTGCTAGACAATGGCTCTGCCATTTGAGCCACATTCCAGTCCTTCTTGCTCTTCTTGTAGTAACATCAAACCTGCTGGATGGGGTCCCATCTGTGGGACCTCATGTATTGGAGTTCCTCTAATTTTATGATGCCTAGGTTTCATTTTGAATATAAGTTGAACTTTCTCATACCAGAGCAGGACTTAGCTGCCCAGCTCCTAGTGTTCATCTCCTCAGTGTGACTAGTTCACATTGTCTTCAACAACCTCCTCCCGGTGACTATCTCCCTGCATGACCTACATGACCCCACAGTTCTCATATGCTGAAGTGACTACCTCTCAGTCATAGTGTCACCCCATGGAACTTGCACCTTGTTTCTCCAAACCCACCAGCTTGATCTTCCTGTAGGAAAACTGTGCCTGTGGTGCACAACTATAATACCAGGAACTCAGGTGGTTGAACAACGAGATCATGAGTTGAGCTCGCCTTGGCTATTACAGTGAGACCCTGGTGATCTCGTGGCACAAGATTAACACATGTGACTCCATAGTGAGAACTTGTCTAAAAATAAATAAATAAATAAATTGCTGAGTGTAGTGGATAACACCTGAAATTCAGCTACCCCTTGGGAGTGGAAATTGAGGGGTACAGCAAAATTTCAAGGATCAGTCCAGGCAGAAGTTCCCATGTGAATCAAAAGCCTGGCACCAGTGGTGTTATTACCTGGGTCAGCCAGCTAAGCAGGGAAACACAATACGATCGAGGTGCAGGATGGCTCAATATAGAACCCTATCTAAAAAAATAAAACCCAACACAAAAGGACTGGTGAGAGCTCAAGTGTAGAAGCACCTGCCTAAACGAAGCACAAAGCCCCTGAGTTTCAAACCCCAGTTACTGGACAAAAACAAAACGAACTGCCATGGGACCCCTCACCTAGTATAATGCCCTGGACCTCAGTGCGGGCCTCAGCCCACAGTCCTGTCTAGTCCCTGCACTCCGGTGAGCCATTCAGGTCCCTGGATGGCTTAACCCACCAATTCAGGTGCCCGCTGAGGCCGTTGCTGCCCTCCTCTCGTCTGGGTCTGCAATACAACTACTTCTGTTACTTCAAGTAAATCTAGAGTTGCTTCCTCCATGTGTCTTAAATCAGGACTGACACACCAAATCTAAGGCTCTTTACCTAGGTCTGGGGTTTCTCCTACCACCGTTGTTTGTTTTGAGGACAAGGGCTCACTATGTAGCCTAGGCTTTGGCCTCGATCTTGTGATCCTTCCTACCTCAGCCTCTTGAGGTGCTGGAAATTACAGGTGTGAAGCACCCATGTCTGGCCCCAGAGTGGCTAACCTACATTAAAGAAAGTTGAACAGTAGACAAAAAAAGGACACAGAGGTCTCTGCCAGTGAAAACGAGTTTCCTGTGAGTGATGACATCTAGTTACGCACTGAACACTTGGCATTAGTCACCTGCCGGATAAAGAAAGATTCCGTGAAAGGCATGCCACAAACACGTGGATGTAAATCCCTTGGAGCAGGGCTTGTTGTAGTGATGAGAGAGAGGCCCAGGGCTTCAACATGTGAAGATGAGGTTACGCAAATCGGCCACTAACAAAAGCGTAATGGTTATAACATTTCTGAAAAACATGAACTGATAGTGTCTTTTTTTAAATTATTTTATTATTCATATGTGCATACAAGGCTTGGTCATTTCTCCCCCTGCCCCCACCCCCTCCCTTACCACCACTCCCCCCTCCCCTCTCCCCCCCCCTCAATACCCAGCAGAAACTATTTTGCCCTTATCTCTAATTTTGTTGTAGAGAGAGTATAAGCAATAATAGGAAGGAACAAGGGTTTTTGCTGGTTGAGATAAGGATAGCTATACAGGGCATTGACTCACATTGATTTCCTGTGCGTGGTGTTACCTTCTAGGTTAATTCTTTTTGATCTAACCTTTTCTCTAGTTCCTGGTCCCCTTTTCCTATTGGCCTCAGTTGCTTTTAAGGTATCTGCTTTAGTTTCTCTGCGTTAAGGGCAACAAATGCTAGCTATTTTTTAGGTGTCTTACCTATCCTCACCCCTCCCTTGTGTGCTCTCGCTTTTATCATGTGCTCAAGTCCAATCCCCTTGTTGTGTTTGCCCTTGATCTAATGTCCACATATGAGGGAGAACATACGATTTTTGGTCTTTTGGGCCAGGCTAACCTCACTCAGAATGATGTTCTCCAATTCCATCCATTTACCAGCGAATGATAACATTT